TCACGCTCAACTGTCGGTTCTCCTTTTTCCCTAGTATCACTCCCTCTTACTGAACTTCTATTGCTTCCCTTTCATTTTGGCTTAGAAAACCAAGTTTCTTTTAATTTGATATTAAATTATTCTTAGAGATTCCAAGTTTGATATCTCCCCTCCCTTCTCTTTGCTGGAGTAGCCTGTCTTTCCTCATTTCCCCATCTCACCCATCAGTGGTCTCAGGATCTGTTTAAAGAGGCCCAAAGTAACCTGGCTAAGGGGAGGGGCAGAGGCTTTCCTTTCTGTACCTGTTGCCTGGAATCCACTTCCTGTTTGTGGAGGCTGAGGCAAAAGTTCGAGGAAGGGAGCAGCAATTATATAATCACCTGATTTTCCAAACGTCAGCCCAGTAATCTACCCCCTGCTGTATGTGCACCTAGCATGCTTTTCTGGGTTTGAAACAACAGACATGAGTGCCCACCTCACCCACCTCAGCCTTTCCTCCCGGCCTCCTGGGGTGAGGGAGCCCAGCATGGTGGGCATGCCCTGCTTTCCAAGGTTAGGCCCAGAGCTGGGTCCAACCCCCTGCCCAGGACTCAGATGAGGGACAGGAAGCTCTGCTCTCCCCAGCCAGCCTCTGTTGCCATGAAGCTCTGCTTGGCCTCCAGCTGAAGAAGGGCAGATCAAACAGAGAAGGGAGTCCTCATGCTCCTGAGAGGCAAAGCCAGGAGTGCGTAGGAGATAATGATGCTGACGTCCTGCAGTTCTCCACTACCTCTCACAGAAGCCCAAGTTCTGTCTGTCCAGAAGCAGCAAAGACGCCATGTGGTACTTCTCTGTTTTTGCCTGACCCCTCACCCTGGACCACCTCCATCTGCAGCCCAGACTGGGACATCTTTCCCCAGCCACCTTGCTGGCTGTTCAGGGAGAAAGTTGCATGCAGAGGTTGGGGGTGCCATGGAGGAGCCACAGAGACCAGTCAGGTTGGAGCACAGGGAAATGCGATAACTGTCGATAATGACAGATTCTAAAACAAACAAAATCATAGCTTTTTTGGAGTTAATGACTCAAGAACCTTTTTTTTTTTTTTTAAACAAGGTCTCTCTCCCTTGTCTAGCCCTTTAAATACTGACTTCTCAGGACGAAGGCCATTCCAGAGGGAGTTAGCAGGGATCACACCCCATCTGTTGCCCAGGGTGGAGTGCAGCATTACCAGAGCTCACTGCAGCCTCAGTCTCCTGGATTCAAGTGATCTTCCTGCTGACAAGCCCAGCCAAAAATTTTCTATTTTTTGTAGAGATGGATCTTGCTCTTGCTCAGGTTGGTCTCAAACTCCCAGACTCAAGCAATCCTGCCTTGACAACCCACAGTGCTAGAATGACAGGTGTGAGCCACTGCATTGGGCCAAGAACTTTTTTTTTTTTTTGAGACAGAGTCTACTTTGTTGCTTTCCATAGAGCGCTGTAACATCATAGTTCACAGCAACCTCAAACTGTTGGGCTCAAATGATCCCCTTGCCTCAGCCTCCTGAGTAGCTGGGACTACAAGGTGCCTTTCACAATGCCCAGGTATTTTTAGAGATGAGGTCTCTCTCTGGCTCAGGCTGATCTCGAACCTGTGATCTCAGGCAATCCACCTGCCTTGGCCTCCCAGAATGCTGAGATTATGTTCGTGAGCCATTGAGCCTGGCCTTGGGCCAAGAACTTTTGATAAAAGGGGGAGAGTTTCTTTTTCTTTTGATTCTTGGATGGTGGGCTTCCTCAAGCCAAAAAGCAGGACAGCAGAAAGAAGATAATAGATGGAGACCTCAGGAGAAGGAGGGCCAGGAAGGTCGAGGCAGGGAATAAGGAAGAAGGCTGTAGAGGCTCACTTTGATGCCTGGTGTGCTGATGGTGCAAAGGTGAGGATGGCAGACATAGGCCAGAGCCAGGAGGGCTGAGTAATAAGGAGGATAAAAGAAGACCTCTGCCCTGGTGGCCACAGAAGGTCTTCCTTGATGGGCATGTGCTCCCTCACATATGGGAACTGGGAGGACAGACACCCACATCACCGAGGCCCAGTACTGCTCCCCTTTCTTCCACTCAGGTCTGGACACCTGGTAGCTCTTTCTACTGGCCATCTCAGGCCCTAAGTCCATCTTTTTTCCTGTCCAATAAAAACTTCATCCAAGGGCGGCGCCTGTGGCTCAGTGAGTAGGGCACCAGCCCCATATACCCAGGGTGGCAGGTTCAAACCCAGCCCCGGCCAAATTGCAACCAAAAAATAGCCAGGCATTGTGGCAGGTGCCTGTAGTCCCAGCTACTCAGGAGACTGAGGCAAGAGAATCGCTTAAGCCCAGGAGTTGGAGGCTGCTGTGAGCTGTGACGCTACAGCACTCTACCAAGAGCAATAAAGTGAGACTCTGTCTCTACAAAAAAAAAAAAAAAAACAACTTCATCCAAGGAGATGAAAATGGCTTCTGCGGACACAGTCAGTAGGTTCCTAGAAGAGTATGTGTGTGTGTGGGGGGGTTCTCTAGGCAAAAAGCCAAATTTGAGGAAAGAGGGGGACCCTTATTTTCAAGATGGAGACAAATTTGGGTGATCTCTCACTTGTCCAGCCCTTTAAATACTGGCTTCTCAGGATGAAGGCCATTCCAGAGGGAGTTAGCAGGGATCACACCCCAACCCTGCCTGGAATAACTTGCTTTAAGTTCTTCAGCAAGCACTTGGCATCTACCTGAGGCCATGGCATACCCCTGGGGGAGATGATACTCCCACAGTGTTTGTCAGCCTTTCTATCTCATGGCACACTTGAACTTAAACTTTTGCAGCACCCTTCAATTATATTGATCAAAAAAAAAGAGTGGGCTCGGCGCCTGTGGCTCAAGCGGCTAAGGCGCCAGCCACATACACCTAAGGTGGCGGGTTTGAAT